CGAAATTTTCAGGTAGGTACCTAATAAATCTTTTAATCTTTTAACAATAGGTGCGCAAGGTGTCTCGATCCGCCTTTATAATTAGCTAATTAATGTAATAGTCGTAATAAAACTATTGCCAATTGAATATTTCTTACCTGGTTATTATTACGTGGAATATAATAATTCAGTTTTATTTAATAAAACTCAACGTTGTTATTTTATATTCATAAAAGGGTACTAGCGATTCTAATCCCAGTAAATATTTTAAAACAGTTAAAATTTATAATTTTTGTAATAAAGTACTTTTACATTTTCAACATTTAAACATTTAAAAAATATATATTATTTAACACAGTAATATTTCAAAATTCTTTTCAATTAGGGTAGTCGAGAAAAAAATTACTAGTCTGGTAAAAATATAGTAAAAATCTAGCAGAGCACTTTTGTATTTCCAAAAAGATTTTGCATTTAGCTAGAGTGAATGTGTAGCTCATGGAATACTTTCCAACTGTCGCTTAAGGCGTCAAAAATTATAAGGGGAAGTCAAATTAAGTAAAAACTAGGCAAGCAATTTATACTTTCAGATACAAGTAGAGTACAGTAAACTTGTAAAAATAGATTTTATATCACCTTAAATTTTAACCTAGCAGAATTATTGGCTTCCCATAGAAGGTAGTTGAAGGGTGAAAAATTACTAGGGTGGTAATAAATAAGTAAAATCTAGTAGCACAACGGTGGAGTATTTCATATTTTCGAAAATATTTTTCTTTTGTATTTAGCTAGCGTAAATGTGTGGCTGGTAAAATTGGAGTAGTTGGTTAACATTTAGTAAAAACTAACAGAGCAGTTTCTTATTTTAAATAGAGTACAATATAATTACAAAAAAATGTCTTCACCTTAAATGTTAACTTAGCAGAATTATTGACTTCTCACAAGGGTTTGTCGGGGGTAAAAATTACTATAGTGATAATAAATTCGTAAAAACCTAGCAGAACACTGTGATATTTCAAAATTTTCTTTTTAAATCCACTGGCGCGAATATTAAGCCAGTGGAAATGTTTACAAATAGGAATGGTTTAGGGGTAGAACATTATCAAGGTGGACAACGTTTAGTAAAAAGTTAACAGAACAGTTTTTCATTTCAGTTATAAGTGAAGGACGGTGAAATTGCAAAACAAGATCTTTTTACCTTAATTTTAACCGTAGTTGAGTTGTGAATAATTACGAGGATGGTCATAAATTCGTAAAAACTAAGTCAAACACTGTGGTATTTAAAAAGTATTTTTTTTTTCCTGCCAGCCGGAACGTTTCCAAAAAAGAAAAAAAAATTTTTACGTCACATTTCGAAATAACAGAAATATCACAAGGGATAGGTAAAGGCCGAAAAATTACTAGGGTGGTAATAAATTTGTAAACACCTAGCAGAACACTCTGGTATATCATAAATATATTTTTTTGGAATTTTGTTAGCTTGAATATTAAGCAAGGGGTATCGGTCCCATTAGGGGTAGGTTTGGGGTGAAGAATTATCGGGCTGGTAATAAATTAGACAAAAATGGGTAAAAAATGAGCCATAGGCAAAAAGCTTTTTTTTAATTCTGCTAGCTTGAACCTTAATCCAGTAGAATCGCTCCTCTTAAGGGTGGTTTGGGGGCGAAAAATTATTAGGATGATAATTGTTGCGTTCTGCACATACGATGACCTCGATATATCATTTAGGGTAATCCTGAATGGGGAGAGAAGATCTTCTGTTCAATCTAGAACTCGCTGGTTTCCCCCTTTCGAAATGGGTATGTATATTCAACTGTATAAAACACTATTTTAAAAAGGTGTAAAATTAAACATAAATATACATAACCAAATATACCATTATGATTAAAGAAGAATATACAAACTTAAAATTACGCAATAACGAAACGACATACCAAAAGACAATCAGAAACCAACTAAAACAAAAATGTCGATTCTATAAAAAACCACTGACAAAACAAAAGACAAAACCTACCATAGGCGCAAACATACTATACATAAAAAGATAAAAGCCAAATTAATAATCTTACCAAAAAAAAATCAACCTAAATAAGGATATAATATTTTAACGCTGTAAAAACAAATTAAGAATGCGGTGCATACAAATAATTAATAAGTACAATTATTAAAACAAAACGTACAAGAAATAAAATCGGTGTTAACAAAATACAAAAAAATATATACAATACAGTAAATAAACCGAAACAAATGCAAAATGTCCAATTGACGATGTTCAATCGCGATCGCGGCTTAAATGCGATGAAGTTCCAAATATCAAATAAATATGCCAAGTGCACGTACTTGATATATGCAGCAACAAATTAATATGGTGTATTGTTCCTTACTCCATCAAAAAGATAGCCCCAACGCTATCGCAAATTATGTCTTCAGCGACACTTCAACTACCAAAGTTTGTGATGCACATTAGCGTCTTTCTTGGCCGATGCGGAATCAGGTACTCTTTGTCTTCACATTGTTCACATACACATGTTCATCGTTTGAGAGATACTTTTCGACTCTGGTTTTGTATGTAACGCAAACCCTTATTTTAGGGACACACACATGTACTGATATTTCGCAGATGGCCCGCCTTGCAATCTTTAGCCCTTAAAACGGCTGTGTCACTTACAGGTAAATCTGGTTTAAAATATACGAGGAGAAAAGAAATTATCAAAAAGTCTGTTAATACATTTACAAATATTTATATACAGTTGCGAAACTGCAACAATTATAAATTAGTGAAAAATGGGTGAAAAAATATGGCATAGGTTAAATAGGATTATGCTCATGTGTCCCTGCTATCTTAGGGGTCCTCAAATAATTCATTATTACCATTCAAATTGATCTGACGAATTTTATATGTATATACCAACTGTCAATAAAAAGTATGGAATATATGGTTTTTTGCTACGCGTAGTACTAAATTTAAGGTGGAAATCGCTTATAGAATAAAATTATTTCTGTCCTTGTTTAAAAAATTATAAAATTGCTGGAGCACGTCGATTATAAATATGCGCTTTTTAAATATAATGTACAAGGTGACTCACGCGAGTCTACCATAGTCCAAAAGCTTTGTTTTTATGGAACATCCTATATATTTATATATTCTTAAAAGCTCCTTAAAAACTTGACATCAACAAACTATATCATGTAAAGTCTATTATGAATATTACAGGGTAGGTAGTATGTTGAAATTATATAGTGTGAAAACCACTTATGGAATACAATTGTCTTTGTTCTTATTTTAGAAAATTATTAAAAACGCCGACACAAGTCAACTTTTAAATTCAAATTTACATTTTTCAACATAATTTAAATGTACGTTCAGTCACGCATGTCTAGATTTTTAGTGGAACACCCTGTATATTTATATGATTTTAAAATCTATTTAACAAGCTGATAATATAATGTATGATTTTTTATGAATATTATAAGGTGAACTTTTCAATTGTATATAACATTTGCCAATAAAATAAATACAAAACTCAATATATTGATAATTAGTTCACAAAATGGATGTCTGTATTTAGATTATTAAAAAAAAAAGCATTATTTAAAGTATACTTAATGATTAATTTAAAAATTTTGTTTATTTAATGTCATTACAAACATTATACATAGTTTCAAAATTTCAGCTTGAATTATTCATACTAGACTCTACATAATGTACTTATTTGAGATGAAGCTATAGCTTCTAAAAACATAAAAATATACAATGAAAACTAAAAATGATGCACTAAATAAAAAAAAATTAATAGTAACCAACTGAGTATCCGTATCACAGAAAAGGTAAAGCAGAAACTTGCTCCTATAACAAATATGGCAACATGGCCTTCAAACACACTGTCTATGCAGCCATATTTGTGGCATCCCGAAACACAGATATCTGGTACGGATATATTTGTGGCATCTTTTTCACACAGTTTCTGATCACCAAATAATTGTGGAATCCGGTGCCACAATTATATTCGTCGATAATATTCATACCATGGAGTGTATCGAAATAATTCCTATCCATCAAGAGTAATTGTCTTGATACTTAACAAAGTCGACGTCCATTGTCTTTGCTAAGACACGCTAATTGTATCCGAACGTCTGCGGTCCCTCCGGTGAGTACCGATCAAAAAAAAAATAGTATTAAAAATACAGAAAATAAACATTACTAATTTTATCCCGCCGCTTCACTTGCTTTTAAGCTTTGTTGTCGTTTTTCGTCTTCAATATATCCGTAACTAGTTATATCTATTCCCAGATTTTACATCGTAATGGGTATTTAACTATTATCATAAAATTGGTTTTTTCTGCTAATATTATCATATTGTATTTCTTGGCTGTTCTATTAAAGATGTGTGTTAATATTTGGAGCTCGTCTTCTGTCTTGGCGATTAATGCGGCGTCGTCTGCATAACATAATATTTGGATTTCTTTGTTGGCAAGAAGAAGATGAAGATGTTTCGTTTATACAGTAGGTGTAACACGTCTTCGACTTGAATGCGATCGAATGCCTTCGTCAGATCTATAGAACATAGATATACCAGTTTTTTGTACTTGATGGCCATTTCTATGATTTTTCTTAGTACAAATACGGCGTCTATGCAGGATCTTTTGTATCTGAATCCTTGTTGTTGATCTGATAAAGTGGTTAGTTAAGACTTTTGTGGTAAGCTTAAGTGTGGTGTTTAGGTTTATATCTCTAAATTGTTGGGGTCTTCTTTATCTCCTTTTTGAACATTGTTATCATTATGCTGTTTCTCCATGCGTCTGGTATTTTGCAGTGCAATATTAGTTTGCCATATCTAGGGTCATACTTTCTTCTTCGTGTTTTAGAATCCCGTTGGTTATTTTGTCTGGTCCAGGCGAATTTTTACCAAATAACAAAAACGAAATTTGTTTAATTTTTTAATTGATATTACTGTCAATAGTTTTGTGTATATTGCCTTTAATTTCATCTCAAATTACATAATTAATTATATATTATTATATTTCAGGGTGATTCCGGAGGACCACTTGTAGTATCTGGAATTCAAATTGGAGTAGTATCCTGGGGAACAATATGTGCAGCTCCTAAGAGGCCTGGAGCTTTTACGAAATTACCAGAATTCGTCGATTATATTAATTCTATAATATATAATAATTAAAATATATTGTGTTTATTTATGAACTAAAATGAATAAAAGATTATTTAAGGCAATTGTATCGAATAAATAAATTCATTTATTCATTATTATTATTATTTATTTGATAGAGACTATCAATGGCGTAATAAAAAATCAGAATTAATATTATAAGTAAAGGATTCTTTATTATGTTTATCATATATGTTGGGGTAACCAGACAGCTATAGGTAGCGGCGATAGGTTGGACAGTAGCATGCAATGAAAATGATAGCCCCAGAAACGGCAGATATACAAGGCAATGGGAAACTACTGCACTATTTTCCCAAGAAAATTTCTTCCCATAAAGATGACAATTGCAGTAAGTGAAGTTGGGATTTTAGTTTAAAAAGATTTCACAAAGTCAAAAAGAAAAAAATGACAACAAAAATAGACATCTCACAACAGAAGAACCTTGAACAGAAAAAAGAAATAAGTATCAAGCTTGAGGAAGAAATAAAAACGGTCGAAAACTTTGTACAGACAGACATTGAAGTAACATGGACTGCTCTAAAAACAAAAATAACAAAGATACAAGAAGAAGAATCGGGTTCATAAAACACAACAAAAAACAAGAATGGATAATGACGCAATAGATCATGGACCTTATGAACGCAAGACAAAAACATAAAACAAGTTCAATAGAATACAAGCGAATCAATAAAATCATTACAAAAAAAAGTGCAGGGAGGCAAAATAAAACTGGATGTCAACAAAATTCCTAAAAATCGAACAACTTTAGGAAAAATACCACACCTTTAATATTCATAAAAAGTAAAAGAAATGGCAGGTAGACAAGCAACAATATTAAAAAATGATAATAACGAAATAATTGTGGGTACAGAAGACAAATTGGAAAGATAAAAAAATACATACAAACTCTTTTTGCCAACGAGACCTTTTTCTCCACCGTCCACAGATAATTGAATAAATGAAAAATGCCCAAAAATAACCAAAGAAAAAGTGATTCACGCAGTAAAATCTCAGAAATATTGAAAAGCCACCGGTCCAAATCAATGTCGAAATACTAAAACTAATTGCAGATAATGAAAGTAAAAGCCTAGACTTAATAACAGCACTATTCAATAAGATATATGACACAGGTAAAATACCAACAGACTGGCTAAAAACAACCTTCGTAGCATTACCAAAAAAAATCAAATTTCTCACAATGTAATGATTATCGAATACTAAGCTTAATGTCTCATGTCCTTAAAACTTTTCTCAGAATTATCCATATACGAATTTACAAGAAGCGAATTTCAGATGAGTGACACTCAATTCGGATTTCGAAACGGATTGGGAACACGAGAGGCTCTTTTTGCTTTAAAGGTGTTAACGCAACTATGCAGAGACAGGAGTGTAGATGTATATGCATGTTTTATTAATTATCAAAAAGCATTTGACTGTGTTAACCATCAACAGATGATCGAAATTCTGAGAACAACTGGAGTTGACGAACAAGACTTGCGAATTATCTAGCGACTGCAAGCAACGCACAAAAACTACAATATATAATAAATGCGGTAGTTCAGCAGAGCGATGTGTTTGGTTTGCATCTAAAGATTTGCAAAACTAAAACTTTAGTATTTTCAAAGACACCAGTAAACGTACATGCGTATGCCAAGGGTCAAATAATAGAACAGGTAAATTGCATAAAATATTTGGGAGTAAATATCAATAGTCAGTGTAATCCAAAAAAAAAGAAATCCTAGGAAGAATCGAACCATGCAAGAAAATATGCATGAGCATAAAAACATTTTTACAAGATCAGACCTTAGTCTGCAGCTGCAGCTTAGAATCCGAATGATCAGATGTTACATTTTTTCTGTCTTACTGTATGGATGTAAAAGTTGGACAGTGGACTTTGAAATAGAAAAAAGAATAGATGCCTTTGAGATTATATATACAGACGAATGTTGAAAATTCCATGGGTACAAAAAATTACTAATGTTGAGGTATTTCGTCGCATGTGTAAACAAAAGAATTACTAAGAATAATCAAATGGAGGAAAATGCAATGTTTGGGTCATGAGTCAAATTGCTTCAAGTTATACTGTAAGGAAAAGTACAGGGCAAAAGATCAGTAGGAAGACGCCAGAACTCGTGGCTAAATGACCTGATGAGATGGTTTGACCGCTTCTCTACAGAAATCTTTCGCGCAACAGTTTCCAAAACTACAATTGGCATTTGGATCGCCAACCTTTGAAAGGAGACGTTTTGTTTTTTTTTCGGATGATGTGAAATATGCTACCGGCTGCCAAGGTGTGAGTGACCGGGCACCTGGCAGAAATTGTGCAACTGAATCCAAGTTTTCACTTAATTTAAGAAAATGTTAGCGAATTGGTACATGAAAGGTCCAGAGACTGATCTAAAACCCTGAAAAGTTACACCTAATTGAAAAATAAATGGCAGACCACAGTCTTTCGTTACTTTCAGAAACTCACTTAGTGGTAAAAAGCATTTTAAAACGACTGTTAGCAACGTGGATTTTTAAGGCCCAGATAACAGAAGTAGAAATGGAGTCGCAATAATTGTACCCTCTAAACTGAGTAGCTGCGTAATTGCATATAATACTATTGATGATAGGATAGAATCCATTAAAATGAGAATATCCACCAATACTCACACCTTGTTTAGATATACGCTTCTACAAAAGCTTCACAAGAAGAAGACGTCAACAGGTTCTATGGTCGTCTAGAAGAAACTGTAAGCGCTATTCCGAATCGTAAACTAATAATAATTTTAGGAGACTTTAACGCCAAAGAAGGATCATCTAATGAAAACAGTGAAGGAGTGCTAGGCAAAAATGGATTGGGACAGAGAAATGAGAATGGCGACCGTCTAGTGGAGTTCTGTGAAGACCAACATCTTACAATTACAAACGCGTTTTACCATCATTCACGGACATTATACATATGGCGCAGCAAAGATGGACGAACAAGAAATCAAATGGACTACATCCTAATAAGATCAAAATGGATGTCGTCGGCCCTTAACTGTAAAACATATCCTGGCGCAGACTGTGGAAGCGATCATCAACTCCTGGTATTAAACATTCGACTTTGTTTTAAAGTCCTTAAAAGAAGACCCCTAATAAACGTATATCTCTAAATCCAACAAAAATCAATGACTTCTAATAAAGCCTAGAAGAAGAAGCTCTTTCTTTATACCAATTAGATAGTGACCCTGAGAGCACTTGGATTTATCTCAAAAATAAGGTAATTAAGGCTGCAAAAGACTGTGAGGCAATGGTTTCCTCACGCCGTAAGCCGTGAATATTAGATAATACGTGGACTGTGATTCAACGCAGGAAAGAAAATAAAACTAGTTCCAAATGATGAACAAAGAGCGTTATCTAAAGAAATCAGAAAACATTGCCGTAAAGGCAAAGCTGATTACATGAATTCCTGAACCGAGGGATTTATTTCAGAAAATAAAACTCCTTACCAGAGGATTAAAATCTCAAACTTGGTCTGCAATAGATAAGAAAGATAATCTAAAGACCAATAAATACCCGAAATATTGGAAACATGGCGAAACTACTGTGACAAGCGAGGTACCAGCAGTGTACATCAGTGGCTCTTTGACTACTCTAGAGAACCTACTTTCTTAGAAATAAATCCTCAGCTAATCTGATTGGTGTACCTCAATTTATATCCAACTACACAATACAATAACTACTACCAGATGTGAAAACTACCGCATACTGTTACTAATAACACGTCATGCTAGTAAAATCTTATTGCATATCATAAAAAACAGATTAAAATCGTATCTACATTACCAAATACCTCAGGAACAAAGGGGTGTACAAAGGGTAAAGATACACGGGAACAAATCCTGAACCTGAGACAACTCACTGAAAAGTCTAAAGAATTTCAAGTACCTATGATTATATGCTTCGATGACTATAAAAAGGCATTTGATTGTGTAAGCTAGATAATTATGTGGTCGATTTTAATGAAAATGGGCACACCAATACACCTGGTGACACTTATTAAAAATCATAAATATATATATATATATATATATATATATATATATATATATATACAGTATAGGTAAAAGTTTATGGTCAATATGGACCTTACATGAGATGGAGTGAGAAACAACTGTTTAAAAAGAGAGAGATATATTAGGTGTCCGCCTTTTATATCACCGAACATAAATGAGTGGATATGGAGTGGATGTAATAAAAAGGGGAAATTCAACGTTGCCAAACTTATTGGTTTTATTTGACCTGTTGTCTTTTTCGCATTTGAACAATGCTCCAAGATAATGAAATTTGGGCGAAATGGATTTAAATGGCAGCTTATTGTTTTTTATTGGGAATATACCACAATTTTACTTTACAATAAGTGTAATATAACATTTTGATTTATACTTCGGAAATCGTTTTATATAAATAAAATTTATTAATGTTTGGTATTTTAAAAACGATTCCGAATTAAAAATCTAAACATCAAAATAAGCTTATTTTAAAGTGACATTAAGCCTTATTTCCAATAAAAATATTAAACTGCATATAAATAAAAAAGCTTCGTACAAAACTATTTGCCAACGTGGCGTGTCGCGTGGTCAAATCACCGAATCAAAGCGTACACAGGTATTTACGAATAGAGGTGGGTCATTGACGTCGCAAAACCGATTTTCGTAAACAAGTAACTATGATTTTTTAATAGTAGTTTCAAGTAAGAAACTACCTACATAAACAAACATAATGGCTATTATCGTTTATGTGTATATTTATTGAAGTGAAGGAAACTAATAAAAGATTTTATTATAACTTGAAAACTAAACTAAACAATACAAATAGTAAATCGTACCTACGTTTACATTACACGTTATTATTAAATCACGAATCGTCTAAATTGACATTTAAAAACATAAGTTTTTTTACTTTACTTCTTATTAACCGTGTTTTTCTTTTATTTAAAATTAAACCTGATTTTGAACATGTGTTCACATTTACAATACTTTATGAATATAGTGGTTAAGTTAGGAGATACATGGCGATGGTTTTTCCACCATTGTAATGGACTCTCGCTACAGGTGTACGTTTAGATGAG